AGTATGGGGAGTACTGTATCAGCTAATTCTGGGGTTATTATAAGTGGCCAATCGGTTGCATCTAACACTACTATCATAAGTCTCCTCAAAGGCGTTTCCTTTCTGTTTTAATTTTTTATTTTATTGTTGGATGTATTTGCTTCTGACACGTTCCATGCACTAACATGCAAACTACATACAATGTGTGTAGTACACAAAGACGATGCTCAGAGCGCTGTGGGCTCTAGAGGGCGCCAAAAACCGGCTAAAAATTCACCGTCAGTATAATTTCAATACTGTACTGTACAATCAAACGAATTATCGGCAATAATTCTCAGTATCAAGTCAAAAGAAAAGAGAATTAAATTAAAATCAATGAGCGAAGAAGAACAAGGTGAATTCATTTGAAATCAGACATCCTGCCCGCGGGGGGGCACAGTGGGCGGCTGGTGTGCACGTTGGTTGACCAGTCTGCAGAATCGCATGGACACTGGAGACAGTGTCTTTGCATTGGCAAACTGGAGTGGTGGTTCTCCTTTTTAATTAAAGGGGACCAGAGGGTGTATTCCAAATACAGTACACACTCCTCAGCCTCCTTGGTATTCAGGGATGCTGCAGAGGAGAGTCCATCGGGAAGTAGAATCTTTTATAAAGTATATCTCTGAGTGTTATTCAAAAGATTCATCTGCATCACGTTGTCAGAACCATCAACAATGAAATTAAAGCAAAACCCATCGGGAAAAAAATCCTCTTCGAAATGTAAACCCAACATCTGTCAGTCACAATTTACGAATCCGATACTGATAATATACTCTGAATGGTCGACGCAAACAGTGAAGTTCATTCTTTGAGGGGATGTCATTACCTTATACAATGATCCTGGCATAAAACACGCGCTGATAACAGCGTTTTCAGTGAAAAAAAAATATTTAAGTTGTTTTTATCCTTGGCAACGTAAGATGGCTACCTTCTGGCTTCAGCCGCGAGGGGCCTACTGATAGACCATTCATATTTACGTCCCTGGTTGCCACATACAAATAATAGAATCAATCTGCGTCACGTTAGATATGCAGTTATGCCTACACTGTTTAATACAATCTAGACTCCCCTGAAAATGTCCGTTGTCAAAACAGGAAATATTTTTGTTTCAATGTACGTGGTCTGGGCCTGAGGTACCATTGTGTCAACTTCGGAAAAAGCTGAAGTCTTCTAGCCAGGCACTGCAATGCACAGTAGTCTAGCCAATGCTGTTGTTGGGCGAGCGGAAGTGCACTTGGTTTTCATTCTGGGTTCTGGGACTTGTCGTTCATCGTGGATTCGGTGCCGCTGTGACAGTAGCATACTGGCACGCCTGATGCCAACATATCCCACAATGCTACGGGGCAAAAAACGTACTTTCAACATATGATTGGCAATGGATTAGCAATGTCTGGCGTTAGCAGGGAAGAAAGGCTCTCCAAACTGGAGCCAGTCGACAAAACTTCCAAAAGGTAAGACACCTCACGATTTAAGACGCTCATCTTAGAAACTGAAAATTAATGGTGGGGAATTTATCTTCCGCTGAAATAATCACGTACAGTTGTCATCGGGGAAATATGATATGGCATAGTCACGTACACACACTTACTCCCAACCAGTTATTATAATGGCAGCCTCACTTGAAAAAATAAAACATGAATAGAGCACGATGACATCTTTGAACGTTATTTATGGTGTGAAAGTGTCAGAATTGCCTCTTGTATTTGTTAAATATAGTAACATTAAATTGCATTCAATCGGTGACCTGGTGAAATGTACCTGGAATAATTGCGTTTACATGTAGTTTTTCAAAATGTTTATATGACGAGGGAACATGTGGCTCTTCATGTTGAGCCTTTGTATAGCATTCTATGGTGCTCGACTAGGCCACAAGATGGTGTTACTGCATTGATGTGTTACCTGAGGCTTTGCTCCCATTTCAAGGTAATGACTGGTTGACTTCCCATAAGGGGGTAAAGAAAGAAGTTTGATTTGCTTTCAGCTTTGGGGTTCACATTCATGGTCCAACAGCAAAAAAACAAACAAAAAAAACAAACAAAACATAAAAACGACAATGATGCCTTCCGGTATGACTAATTAGTTCCGTTCCCACTGAAATGAATGAAAATGCCCTTAATCTGTTCCAAAACACAACAAAATAGCACTACATAAATAGCAGGAAAAGAAAGAACTAGACAGTTTTTGTCAAACTTTATTCTTCATTTGTGCTTGCTCTTTCTGGTGTGCATGCGTGGGTTCAGTATCAGACAGGCTCTACCGTTCAATGAGATACGTCTCAACTCCTCATCTCATCAGTACGGTACTAATATTAGTTGTTCTTCGCAATGTCTTTTAGCAACGTTTGTGTTCAGGTATCTTTTGCTAAATGAGTAAAAACACCACCAGGTAGATGCTACTTGCTCACCCTTGTGTCAATTGTGTTTCCCGTTGTTAACATTAAGCTCATGGAAGATATTTATTGTTTTTAAATACATAATTCTCTCTGTTGTATGTTTACTTTGACTGGGACTTTCAGCTGAGAGTGACAATAAACAACATGGAGGCTCTTTTTCAAAGAATATTTACTAATGCCCCTTATTGTAAATACAGTTGAGTCATCTCCCACCATATAGCGCTTGTTTCTCAAGTTTCTGCCCGCAAGTAAAAACAAAAAATAGGCCAATCAATGGTGTATCCCTTGAAAAACTCATCAGTATTGATGCACCGACAATAATACATTTTTTTTGTACTATTGCACCCCTCTTGAAAAGTACTTTAGAATAATGCAGGAATGACCGTAAAAAAAGCCCAAAGTTCCTCTGTTCTTGGCATTTCGGTTTGGCAACACTGCTGACCCATTATTTCATTTGATTGCAGTCGTCTGTTGTGATGCCTTGAACTGCAGCGACTCTCAGCACTAACACTTGATGTTTTAGGAAGGAAGCAGCTCTTGTAACATATCTGCAAGTCTTTGGTGATTGATGCATGTCTTACTCCGATATTAGAATGTGACAATTCATTTTTCCCCCCATCCTTGTAAACAAATATAGCTCTATGTGAGCATATTTATTTGTTGGTGTGTTTTGACGATGGCGGGAGAGTTGAAGAAGAGGTGTCAGCTGATGAGAAGGGCGGGAGTGTTGGATTTCATCATGCTGTTTATGAAGTGTGTGTGTGTGTGTGTGAGTGTCCTGAGGCTTTGCTCCCATTTCAAGGTAATGACTGGTTGACTTCCCATAAGGGGGTAAAGAAAGAAGTTTGATTTGCTTTCAGCTTTGGGGTTCACATTCATGGTCCAACAGCAAAAAAACAAACAAAAAAAACAAACAAAACATAAAAACGACAATGATGCCTTCCGGTATGACTAATTAGTTCCGTTCCCACTGAAATGAATGAAAATGCCCTTAATCTGTTCCAAAACACAACAAAATAGCACTACATAAATAGCAGGAAAAGAAAGAACTAGACAGTTTTTGTCAAACTTTATTCTTCATTTGTGCTTGCTCTTTCTGGTGTGCATGCGTGGGTTCAGTATCAGACAGGCTCTACCGTTCAATGAGATACGTCTCAACTCCTCATCTCATCAGTACGGTACTAATATTAGTTGTTCTTCGCAATGTCTTTTAGCAACGTTTGTGTTCAGGTATCTTTTGCTAAATGAGTAAAAACACCACCAGGTAGATGCTACTTGCTCACCCTTGTGTCAATTGTGTTTCCCGTTGTTAACATTAAGCTCATGGAAGATATTTATTGTTTTTAAATACATAATTCTCTCTGTTGTATGTTTACTTTGACTGGGACTTTCAGCTGAGAGTGACAATAAACAACATGGAGGCTCTTTTTCAAAGAATATTTACTAATGCCCCTTATTGTAAATACAGTTGAGTCATCTCCCACCATATAGCGCTTGTTTCTCAAGTTTCTGCCCGCAAGTAAAAACAAAAAATAGGCCAATCAATGGTGTATCCCTTGAAAAACTCATCAGTATTGATGCACCGACAATAATACATTTTTTTTGTACTATTGCACCCCTCTTGAAAAGTACTTTAGAATAATGCAGGAATGACCGTAAAAAAAGCCCAAAGTTCCTCTGTTCTTGGCATTTCGGTTTGGCAACACTGCTGACCCATTATTTCATTTGATTGCAGTCGTCTGTTGTGATGCCTTGAACTGCAGCGACTCTCAGCACTAACACTTGATGTTTTAGGAAGGAAGCAGCTCTTGTAACATATCTGCAAGTCTTTGGTGATTGATGCATGTCTTACTCCGATATTAGAATGTGACAATTCATTTTTCCCCCCATCCTTGTAAACAAATATAGCTCTATGTGAGCATATTTATTTGTTGGTGTGTTTTGACGATGGCGGGAGAGTTGAAGAAGAGGTGTCAGCTGATGAGAAGGGCGGGAGTGTTGGATTTCATCATGCTGTTTATGAAGTGTGTGTGTGTGTGTGTGTGTGTGTGTGTGTGTGTGTGTGTGTGTGTGTGTGTGCGTGTGTGTGTTTGTGGAGGGGGCCGGGGGGCGGAGAGAGACTGGTGAAAAGAGAGTGCTGGATTTCATCATTCTATTTGTTTGTGTGAGAGAGTGTGTGTGACTCTTGTGTAAAACACTGACAGACATAGAAATCCCTGCAGGGGCAAAACACAACTCCCCTTACTCCCTCTTCAACCTTCTCCAAGCTGTCGAGTATTCAGACGCTAGCTTAGAATAATAACTTGTTTGTTCCTTCTTGTTTTCCCCCCAGCCTTTTGGTGCTCTTTGGGCGGCCCCCGTCGCGGTCCTCCTGCTTCTTATTTCAGTCCCAGCTGCGCCGTGCGCATGCACTGTCAGGCACAGATGACGCGCGCGTTGACGTACGCGCGCCCGCGGCCCGGACAGTCTTTGGCGAAGCTACCGCTATTAATACTGCCTAATGAAGTTAGTTGTTAGGGCGGGTCGTCCTCTTGCATTCGCTGTTGGTGGGTAGGAGGAGGAGGAGCATCCAGGGACCAGTGGTGCTGTAGTTGGACACAGAGCTCGCCGCGGTGCCTCCCTCCTCTGTACGCGCTGCCCTGCTAAATGGAAGGAAACGGAAAGCATGTTGTAAAGTTTCGTTTCTTCTCCAACCTAATCCTCAGCACTCCCGTGTCACACACTGTGACTCACTTTTGATGTGTTACATGACAAATGCAGCAGAGTGTCTATGTACATATGAAAGTGAGTGTGGCTGCCTGCGTTGAATTAAATTAAAGTGGTGGAAGTCTCCCTCCTCTCTCCGTATGACCTCCCTACCAAATTACTCAGGAGCCAGAATATCTGGCTGCTGGACACTGACATCTGATGGCCGGTAAGTGCACTTTATTTGATCAATTTGCAATATAATATTGTCTGTGCATGGTTGTCGCTCTACACGTGCCCTGCGATTGACTGGCAACCAGTCTAGGGCACAGTCTGCCCCAAGCCAGCTGGGAAGCGCTGCAGCAGGATAAGCAGTATAGCAAATCGATGGATGGCATTTCTCACTTATTCTTGTCTTAGAGGACTGTATATTCCTCTTTGTACAATACAACCCCCCATCGAACATGACTGTACGCTCTTCTTGTATGTGGCGCTTGTAACCTGTTGTGTTGTCGTCTTCACTGGCACAGTATGTGAGTGGATTTTTGCAGTTCTGGTTTCTTTTCTCTGTTGCAATATAGAACAGACAGCTCAACTGGTCTGAATACTGTAATTGTGTGGTTCGGTACAGTGGTGCCTAGAAGTACAAGTTGTATTTGATAATACCCCCCAAAAAATTCTATTTGTGTTTTTTAATAAGGAAAAATAGCACTCTATAATACTGTACTTTATCCAGCCATAGAGTAATAACGCTTGAATGGAATCTGAAAAGAAGACCCCCCCAGTTTATGCATCATGATTCAATGCCACCATCCAATTCATTGTGCTGCTCCTTCTGCTGTGCCCTCCAGAGCCACCCAGAGGCAGTACAATATAATCATACAGACAAACCAAGTATTGAACTTGTTGTACAACTAGTTCTGAAACTGCCTCAGTAACATTCTGTTACATCAGTCCTGGGGTAGGAAACTCCGGTTTCTCGAGAGCTATATCCTGCCTGCTTTCCATCGCTCTACTTCAACACACTTGATTCAAATGATCAGGTCATCAGCGGGCTTTGTAAAAGCCTGAAACAATCATCATCAATAGAATCAGGTGTGTTGGAGTAGGAAGAGATCTAAAGCAAGCAGGATATGGCTCTGGAGGAGCCAGAGTTCCCTAGTCCTGTATTAGTCATTTTTCGTAGCGTATGAGGAATCTATGGCTGTGGGTATTGTTAAACTCTGTTTACATGTGTTGCTCCACCGCTTGGGTTCAAATATCCATTGCTTCTGAAATCTAAACCAGGGGTAACCAACCATTTTTGACCAAAGATCTGAATAGCTTTGCTCACTAGCTACAATTGCAGACTGCTGACCGCTAACAACTGACTGTGATGCAGGTCATCCGCCACCATAGGTTAAAGGTGACCAACTTCTTTATTTTCTTTTGAATAACTTTTTTTGTGAGCGTGAAACTGATAGGATGCGTAGAGTGCAGTGTACACTAACACACACACACACACACACACACACACACACACACACACACGCGCGCGCATATATATATACACACACACACACACATACACATACACACACACACACACACACACACACACCAATAGACACTTTTCCCCTCACCCATTTCCTCCTAAACCCCCCTCATGATCCACTTGGGACCAGTCCACTGACAACAGGACACGATCGACTGGTTGGGCAATCCAGGTCGAAACACATGACTATTGATGTTAATTTTTCGCATGGAAATCACGTATTGACATATTTTTTGTTAGCATGAAGATAAGAACTTACCTTAGGCAAAGCTATCTGTTTGTCTTAAATACACATGGCTTTTTCTGTGTACTTTGGCAGCAAATTTCAACCGGGGGTTTCAGTAAACAGCTTGAAGCCTCTTTGTCATTAATTGTTTAGCTATCAAACCGTTGCTTGTTGTAAAGTGAGTTGAGTTTGCTGCCACCATCCAGCCCTTGTATCTAAAGTTTGAGCTCTCAAGACAAAACAAAAAGTAGGGTGGAGGCAGCTCGTGTCTCAAAACAACCCATAAGTCAGGTCACTTGTGTCTCAAGGCATCACCGTATCAGCTTTGTGACGCGTATGCTTTGTGTTAATATTATTTCAAACGTGATATTGACCAACTTGGCATCCACCTAAATTGTAAGTAAATATCCTTTAAAAAGCATTTTAAACTGAGTTGTTTCTGAAAGTGGTAACCTCATTGGGCTTGGTGCAAATGTTTTTTTAGTTGTTTTTTTTTAATAGCATTGTTCAATTTTAATAGCATTGTGCAGTAATTATTACAAGACTACAATAAATGTGGAGATGTCACTCGTGACTAGGTTTAACTCATATAGAGGTGTCAGCGATGAAGCAACACAATTAATAAGATGAAAAAAGAAACTTGTGAAAAGGCGAGGTAATAACGATACAGCCCTGTGTTATATTTAGAAATGTTCTTTGCTGTTTGTTGTTGACCTTGAGTAAGATTTGTGCTTCAAGGTACCCCTGGCCGCTTTCTTTGCACCGTGACTGATCATCGTTGTCTACACTGTAAGGCATGTGACTGCAAATACAGAAGTGTTTAACTCAGCATATTCAGCGGCGCCATTAATCTTTTATTGCACACTGGTTTGGTTTTAACGGATAACCCACCAAGTGGCTGCTGCGTGTCCGCTCTCACTGACTCCATCCGTGCTTGTTGACCCCGCGCTGATAAGATAAACACTTGTACGCTTCACCTCTGAACACTCCACACTTACCTGAGGAGATGTGTTGCCAATATAAAGGTGGGTAGACTGACTTGTGAGAAAAACATCGAGTGGCCTGCATTTGAGTGCATTTGTACAGTGGCAGTCTTCGGAAACAATGGCAGCCAGCTTTTTGCAGTCCTCTCTGGGTGAAGTGTGGATGTCTCGGATAATTCAGTAAGTGTGAGCCTGACAAGATATGCAAGTTGTGAAAGTGAAGTGTTGAAACTTGCCATTCGTATTTGTGATCTTTTAGCTTCTGTTTCGTTGCGCGTCTTCAACTGTATTTAGACTGGACTAGAGATGTCCCAATTAATGTTGTTTGCAACTTCTGTTTTTACTTTGGAAAACAATGACTGACATTTTTTTCTATTTTCTCGTACGTTACGGACCAAAAGAGTAGCTGCATCGTGACCATTTTCTTTCTTCTGTTTCATTAATTGATTGGAAAAAAATAATCATCATATTATTTCATTACTTAATATTTGCACCGTCACTCTGGACTTATTACTGTGAGTAACATTGCAATGTTGAACAACCCAGTGGCGGACCCTGAGGGCCAGCAAGGCCTTCTCTGCTGGCCTAAACATTCTCAGAAAAGTAAATTTACTTTTCTGAGAATAACATAAATTTGTTATTTTATTTTCATAAATATGTTAACAAAATTATTCTCTGTATTCTTTACGTCACATTAT